GGAGGAAAAGGCAGTTACCCTGAAAGGTAGGGGAGTTAATATAGTCAGAAAGGCAGACAACCTGACGCTCTCAGGTTACGTACATTTCATTTCTTTAAACCAGGAAATGGCTCGCAACGGTTGCTTTAGTTATTTGAAATAAGCAGCTAGATATTTTTATATATATTATTAACTACTTTAGTATGCAAATGGGTTTATACTCATGTTAGGAAAAACTATCAAGACTAAGAGCAGAGCCCTGGAATCCTAGTTGCTCAGGAGGCCAACACGGGAGGGCTGCAGTCCCATCCTACCTGGGCTACATAGACAGCTCAGGGCCAACCCGGCCAAGACAGGATGTAAAAACAGAGGGCAGGGAATGCAGCTTGAGGTGGGGTACTTGCCTAGCACACACAGAGCCCCTGTGTTCACTCACAGTGGCGCACACACAAAGAGAAGAAAGATGAGTTAAGGGCCAGTGAGATGGTTTAGTAGATAAAGACTCCTGACAGCCTGAGTTCAATCCCTGGAACCCACAGAGTAGGAAAGAACTGACTCCTGCAAGTTGTTCTCTGGCCTCTCCTTGTACCTTGCAGGATACAGATGTGCACACATGTGCACACTCGTGCACACCCACCCCTACCCCACCCACACATAAATGTAAAAGTGAAAACAAAAATCAAAACCCAGACAAATGAACTAACAAGGGATAGATTTTGATATCTCAAAGGGTTTTGTACCATATAACCATGTATGTAATTGTCAATACTATAACGTGAGGTCAGCTCCCAGCCTGACCCACAGATTTGGTGCTTGTGACCATGGTCGTTACATTTTCCAGACTGGTCACTTCCATTCTTGTCTGTGGCAACGGAAATGTGCCACAGGAGCTGTGCGTGCGTGTGTGTGTGTGTGTGTGTGTGTGCGCGCGTGTGTGTGTGTGTGTGTGTGTGTGTGTGTGTGTGTGTGTGTATGTGTGTATGTAACGAGCGGGCCAATCAGATGCTGCTGGGGAATCAAGTAGCTTATTGGTGTCTTTTAACAGTCTAGTGATGCGTTTTATGGTGTACCATTTTCTTCTTCTTCTCCTCCTCCTCCTCTTCTGCGAATTCTCTATTCAGGTCCTGGGCCCATTTTTTGATGAGTCCTTCCTTCCTTCCTTCCTTCCTTCCTTCCTTCCTTCCTCTCTTCTTTTCTTCCTTCCTTTCTTTTAAAAACTATTTGTTACTCTTTTCAGTTCTTTATATATTCTGGATATTAATCCTCTGTCAAATGTATGGCTGGCAAAGAGTCTCTCCCATTCTACACCAGGACAGACATTCATTGGAAAATGCCCCTCGGTATGCTCATACAGGTAGTGGCTCTAGGAACAGCATTCTGGGAGGCTTGGAAAGCCAACATGCGAAGAACAAAGGAGGACCCAAGAGCTTAGTTAGGGCTTGAGAAGCTGCTGGGGCTGGAGGAGGCGACTTCAGCTGCAACTGAGATGATGAAGTATGAGGCACTAAATGGGGGGAAGACTCGGAGGACAGGGCCATCAATCACGGCCAAGCTTATCTTCTGATGGAGCGGGACGCCAGCTTCCAGATGTTGCATTAAAACATAATGTTCCCCCTGGGAATCACATGGCAGGCTTCCCTGCAGCATAGGTTTCACTCAGCTAACTAATTATGAGAAAATGTGACATCGGTATTTCACTATTTCTACAGGGACAAATCGTTCCCAGCAGGAGGGAGAATTCGTAATTTTTTTTATTCAGTTTTCTTTTGTCATTAAAAAGAAATTACTTACACAGCAGTAAATAAACTCTTGCTAGATGGAAGGAATTTTTCTCCCCTCTCAATAGTTCTGTCAATTTACCTTAATGCTGACAATCATTCCTTTGTTTTCCTAGCAATCTAGTAAAGTTAAAAAAAAAAAAAAAAAGATGGTTTGGATATTGAGTCTAGGTTTAAATTAACTCCCCACTTAGTAGTTATGTGATATCAAGCCAGTTATTTAGGGACTCGATTCCCCAGCTACAAAGTTAGGATGATGCATGCCCTGTAGACTGTTACCTAACAAGGGAATGGGATGATGCAGTTAAAGTGTGTTTGCACAGTCCTGAGTAAGTGCTCAATACATTTTAACTTCTACTCTCAAAGACCTTAATACTGTTATGAACATAAAAATAATATATGTACCGTCTATACCTAGTGTTGGCAATCTTATATGACCACTCATCTAATACTGAACCCACTCTTTACTTGGGGACTAAAAATTATGTAATAGACATTTTGTTCTTCCTCAGTCTAATGTAAAAAATGAAGGTTTCCAGTGAAAAGTTAATGTTTGTAGGTAAAGTTAAAAGAATTCTCTCTGTTGGCCACTATAGTCTTAAACTTTTCTTGGTTTTCTGTTTGTTTGGTTGTCTTTGCTGGCCCCCAAATTATAATTCCTTCTCCTCCCCTCCTGAGTAGCTGGGGTTGGGTACATGTTCCAGCACGTCCAACCTCTATGCTTTGGGGAGCGAAGGTCAACCAAGCCTACATTTTGTCTCACACTGCCTGGATGGCGAAATGTAAGGACATGGTGTTTGGGTGCCTATAACAAGCTGAAAGGTCATTTCTGCAGAAGGTACACAGAATGGGTATGAAGAGCCCCAGTGCACAGACAAGCAGAATGAAAGAGTGAGGTGGACACACCCAAGTGCTCTCTGAAGGGAACCTGTACGGACGGAAAATGGACCACAGAGCTATGGGACTTCCTATGTTGGTTTCTGCAAGAATGAATTCTGTTTCAGAAATAGCAGATGGGAGCAGCTGTTACTGGGGGAAATGGGATGGTTGGTGGAAAAGGAACAAAAGGGAACACTGAAGGGCACAGACTTTTATATTCTGGTTTCATAAGACATGCCTCAATTCTTCTAGAATAAATTGGAAAAAACTTGATTCACCTCTCTTACAGATGCATTCCAATGTCATTCCAGCAGACAAATGTTACACAAGAGTGGTTGTGTAAAATTGAAGATGTTCTAGGATGGCCACATTAAGTATTAATTCAAAAAAATACATAAAGGTAAGGAAACAGTGCATGCTAGATAGAAAATCATAACAATAAAAAAACATGTAAAAAGTATTTCCCTAAGGATGCAGATTAGTAGATGATGAGCAATTAGACGGCATAGGTAAATCAGCACGCATGTTTAAATTATTTTTAGAAGTTGCAGGAGACAAAGAGGTATAAATATATAATGCACAATACTCATCTAATTTGCATAGCAGTTCCTTAATGAATCACATTTAATAGTTGTTAAAATACTCTTACTTCTAAGAGCAAGTTGTTTGAGCAGGGATTACCTTTCATATCTTTGCGAGGGCCTAACATATGTGTAGGGATCTCTCCTAACCCCTTAAGAAGTCTTAGTGGATTGCAGAACTTTACTTTAGAATCCCTGCCCCTTGAATAGAGGTTTTACTCTTATGGATAAGAAGACAAAATCAGCCAAAGGTTATTAAGGGTAAAACAATTCAAAACAAAGGCAAACACACATTTCTAGTTTATCATTTGGATGTGGAAACTGAAGGACTTATAAATATACAATCAAAATCCTATTCATACCAGCAACAATCAGCGAAATAGCATGCAATAACAGTTTACCATTAGGTGGTTGATTACCTAATTCTGACTTAATGGGCCTTGAACATAATTTTCCCTACAATTTTTTAGAGACCATGACACAGCTTTGTTCCAATATTAGGATAGACTCCATAATGTAGCAGTAGGAGGGACCCTCCTCTCCATTTCCTTAATTCATTCACTTAATAAGTACATTTTTAAGTTTGCTTGTTGTTGGACACTATATCAAAGAAATTCAGTCTGAAGGGCCAATTAGGGAAAGCTTCATATTTGTGTGTTAGGCTTAGAAAAAGATATGTCACAATAAGTGGACCAGAAAGCCTTCCTCACAGAAGATGATAAAAGGTGAGCAGAAACCATCTACATTCTACATATAAAAAGAAGTCATTTCCTTCTAGGAAATAGCAAGAATGAAAGCAGGAGATGCAAAAAAAAAAAAAAAAAAAGATAAAAGTTAACAAGGGGGGATCCAGAAACCAGATACATAATCATATAATCATATGCCTGGAATTCAGGTTATTGACAGGGGTATGGGAAAAGGTGGGGGAAATAACAATAAGCAATAGAGGAAGATGAAGATTCCATCTTTAGTCCTTTTAGACCTTGTTTTCAAATACAATATCAAAAATCCAACCACAATTTTGGATCTGTTGCAAAGTGTTCATCCTATATGTGAAAGGTGCTGTATACACTCAGTCAACTGGAAAGCAGTAATCTACAGGTGTGGGTTATGTTTATGGGACAATCTCAAAAGTCTAAGAAAGAGGGACATCAGCAAGCCCTCAGCTAATCCTGAATACCGATTATTTGTGAAGTATATAGCCACCTGACAAACAATTTGAGTGACTGCTGGAATAAGTAAACAATGGTTAGAAATGACATAATTAGATGTCTTGTCCTTTCAATGAAGCACCTTTCTCTTAAAATAAGTAGAATTCATCCCAACTGAGTAACGGTTCGTTCACTTGCCAAGCAGCTCCGTCTCAGACCTAAAGCACTCTGCCAATGGCTGTATACAGAGATGCGACCTCACCATCCAGAAGGGATTTGGCAGGTATCTCCTACAACACCTCCTCATTTTAGAGGTGAAAATCAGACTCACAGAAAATACATGCTTACCTAGAAAATGGTACAATGTTTGTGATGTCTGGACAGAGACCAGACCGAAGACATTAATGTCATAGTGCTTGTCAACTAAAATGGTTACAAGGGATTAGAAAATAACATCAGATATCAAACTCAGCTTCTGTGGAGAGTGTTTTTAAAAGGGTTTCACAACTTACACTAAAAAACAAAACTACAGGGTCAACATCCTAGAGAGACTTCCTTAATAATTTTCTGCTCTTGACAGTGAGGACAAATTTTTGAGTGCATAATTCAGTATAAAAATGACATGTTCTTACCATGATCTTCTGAAGAGACTGGTGACCTAAAAAAGATAATATAAACATGATAAATATATGACAAATGATAGTAGTAAGTATACATAATTTTATAGAAATTATATAGGTGGGGCTGGAGAGATGGTTCAGTGGTTAAAAGCACTTGTTATTCCTACAAAGCACCTAGGCTTGGGTCCCACCCTCCATGTGGTGACTCATAGCCATCCTTAAACCTAGTTCCAGGTGATCTGAAACCTTGTGGCCTCCATGAGTACCAAGCACATACATGGTGCACATACATACACGCAAGTGAAACATTCAAACACATAAAATAAAAAATAATAAGTAAGTCTTAAGAAAAAGTTAGTTAAGGAGAAACTCAGAATAGTAGGCAATGTGATAAAAGTACTTGTTAAAAGACATTCTATATTATCTGGATTGGTTGATTATTATGTCATTATATTATATAATGTCATCAGCTTAGGTATGGTGTCACAGGGCTGAAACAAATTTAATTAAGTCTGAATCTATCTTTAAAAAATGAGAAATTTGTTGAAATATGTTATCAAATGAAACCTAATGTCCAAGGCCAAACACCTAGAACAAATCCAGGAACACAAATGTATGCTAGATTTTATGCACAAAAAAAAAAAAAAAAAAAAAACAAAAGATGAAACAGAAATAAAAGAAAATGAATGCACTACCATCATTAGCTTTTGTTTCCATTCTTCACAGAATTTAATGTGTGTATTTAATGTGTGGCTTAATATTGCCAAATCTCTGAGAATCAGAATGAGACAAAACAATACACAACACAAAACCCTGGGGCTTCACAAACTTAATAAACCAATAACTTTTACATATCGCCTATAAATTTAGCTCTATTTTCCCCTCAGTCAACACCTGTGTGAGATATGTTGACAATGACCACCTTGAACATGAAGTATTGACTGATGAGAAACACATGATGTAGTAGAATTCTTAGAAGCTAGAAGGTAAGAGGAAGAAATCCCATGCTTCCTGTAGATACACTCTATCCTTTTCTCTTACTAGCTGGTCCATCACAGCCATTAGTGTGGTAACTCATGATAAGTGAAGATGTAAGCACATGTAGTTAGGTAAGCTATCATTGCTATTCATAAGACATGAGTGAGAAACTTTAAAGGGAGTACACATTCAAAGATGTAATAGTTGTTAAAGCAATGTTAAACAACTTGAGGATGCAACTGCTTCCCTTGATCTACTGATGAACAATTTAAGTTTTTATGTTGTGAGTATACAGCAATGGTTGCGTGCATGGTAGTGATGGAAAGAAAATGTAAACATCCATTAGTGAAAAGTGCTAACCCATTTCATGAGCCTTTTCAAGTAGAATTTTGCATGTGAAAGAGTCCCAAGACTTGATGGGGGGGGGCATGTGTTTACGAGGCAAATAAACTAGATGAATGATGAACAGAAATTGACAAATCACTAACCCAAGAAGCAGCCTCCCCTGTTGAAACTGATTTATGTGCCTCTTAAAGTTCCCAGATTTTGTGCAACACGCTGGTCTTTGTAGGTAATTACCTCCTGGCAATGTAGAAGCACATCATAGTTAGAAAAAGCAGGACCTGGCTTCGCATTTGTTGAGTTGAATGGATTTCAGTACCACCAGCCTGGTATTCAGAACCAGATATATTTTAAAGATCTTCAAACACGATCCTACTACCATCAAACAACCTTAAGAACTGTCTGCTTCTGAGCCATCAAGGATAAAGGGAGCTTTGGAATGAGCATCCTTAAAGCCAAAAGATGCTTAAGACATCCAGCAATAGGGATACCCAAATCTGCTTTACCAGGGGAAAAAAATAAGTGAGAAGTGCATTGAATAGAAAGAAGGTAAATGGAATTAAAGGGTGATTCTAATGAACACAGATTGGAAACAACACGCGCTAATGAAGTTTCCTGGGGCATGAGAAGTGAGTCAGCAACAAATGAACATCTTCACTTCTGACGTTTTATGAAAAGTAAGCAAACACTATTTATAATTAATTTCTGATAGAGAATGAGAACAAAGAGAAACCCATGCCCACGGCCTCCCGAGTGTCTCAGGTAGGAGCTCTGAGAACACAGTCTTTTCTGCCTCTCTGCAAAACATTTAATACTAAATCTGAAAAAGTCCAGATGGCTCCATTAAAGTCCCATGGGGGTGCATTCTAAAGTATGACCAGGCAGCGAAGACGAACTATCCATTTCAGAGTGTTTTGCAAGGATTAGTCAAGTTGAATTTCTGTGGCTGAATGTCTCCCACACCCCTGGACTTGTGTAATTTGAAGACATATGGAGTATTTCAGCCCTCACTCGACATTTCACCTTTCACTGCAAAACATCACTAGATTATACTACGGAGACAAGCACATCATCCATTTATGTTGGAAACAGGCATACAAGGTTTCACAGAACTCAGTAATGAGAGCAGGAATACCCTGCAATGAGCAGAAAAAGGCAGTTATTTTTGAAACAGAAGTTGAATCCCAGGGATGGATTTTCTTTGTGACAGCTGAGGAACACAGTAAGGCTTTCTACGTACACTCCCTCCATGCCTGAGAGATAAGAGACTGAACTTGTTTAACTCCCTTCAAGTACACAATCTCAGATCTAGAAGCTACCTTCACAGTGTGAACTATTCCTAACATTTCCTAACTCAGCAATGTAGAGTTCCTCTCATAGTTGTCCTAATCACTAGTCTTCATTATGATCTACAGAATATACGTGTTTTTGGTATATGTTATTGCTTGCTTGGAACTATTTACATTGTTATTTCATTCAAATACAGGCAACTGAGGAAAAAAAAAAGACAACACCAAAAAGACCAAAATAAGAATTCAAAGACTACACTTAAAAACTATTATTCTGTTTTTATCAAACCTAAATTGTTATCATTCATGTGGAGTCTTTTAATTCATATTAATTGAATGAGTGAGTCAAGGCCCCAAATGTTTGCCCCACATGAAGTCATGGAGAAACAAAGGACAATACAAGAAAAGTCATAATCTAGTGAAGAATAAAAAAAACCTGCTTATAACATAGTGGTATAGAAAAATAAATGCTTATACCATAGTGAAAAGTATAGCAATAAAAAAATATGCAGGTCATAAAAAGGTTAACAGTGCAGAGAGATCGGTCATGTCCCCAAGAATAAAACAAACTCAAAAGGTCAAAACCATTTTGCCCCAGCTTTAGGGAATTAATAAGAGCTCATTAAGTAAGTGAGAGAAAAATTCTAGACAGAAGCGAGGTGTATATAAAGCAGCCAGAACTTAAATTTCATAGACGTTATCAGAAACATAAATAAAAGTACTGCTGAAATGCAAAGAAACGGTAAAACTCATGGCTGGGGGAGTTGGGGCCTTTCCATATGGAGCCTATAAATCTATTTTCAAGCGTCTGGAATTTACTTACTAAAATAAATTTAAAAAAAAATGTTTGAAAGTCACATGTTCTGGTTTCTATTTTTGAATGATCTAAAGAGAACATAGAGAAGATAAACCCAGGGGTTACTGTTAAACTTCCATGTCAAGAAGGAAAAATACAAATGTCTGTTTTTTTTATTCTCTTTGAAAACCATGAAAAATAATGAGGATGGAAACCAATAAAAACATCTTTTAGTAATCTAGATGTTTATAAGCTAAACCACCATATAGGAAGAAGAGTCACTAAATACATAGTAAAAGCTGGACTACGTTTCAGGAGAGCAGTCATGATTTTAATAAGCTGTAAAGATACAGCTACATTATATATCACAAGGCCAGGGCAGAAAGCCCTGCTCTGAGCTGAGATGTTCTGCTCTTGAGATGTTAGACCAAACTCCAGAAAAGAGTGCTGATAAAAAAGGGTCTGAAAACAAACAACCCAAAGTCAACCTTCCTGCAATTATCTACCCCAAGCCAGAAGTTCTTGGAAGAACTTACCGAGTAAAAATATCACAAGTAATCAAAAAGCCACCATAGCTCCACAAAAAAATCCGAATGTCAGCAGAACACACTAAAAAGATGAGGGCATGGAGTTACGAATGGTTACTCAATCTGCATGACATTTGAAAATGGAAAAAGAGAACAGAGTGGTGAGTTGGGAGGGAAATAGAGCCTTTGAGAATTACAGAAAGGAATGTATGGTCAGGAAATCCATGCTGACCCAAGAGAACACAGGCTTGCCCAGCCTTTAACTAGTGAATCAGAAAAAGAAAAGCCTACCTGTTGTCATGGTAAAGAGAAGAGTAGAATAAGAGGTAAATAATTTAAAATGTCAAAACAAAAAACTTTTAAAAGTATTCTACCATCTTACTGATAATCTTTTTTTATTTTAATTTGTATTTAAATTAATGCAGACATAAGGATCCCAGAACATAAGATGTTTGGATCCTTAGAGCAATATTATAAAAAGTAAATGCGTATTGAAGGCAGTTTTAGGCAATAGCTCTAGATGTCTTGGGGGCTGAGTTTATTATCTAGAAAAGAGGGGTTTCTACAGAAAAGTGTGACTATACAAACATTACAGAAGGCACAATACATAGAAAGGCATGCCATGTTCATGGCAATACAAGATGAGATACTTACTAAATGCAGTGCCAAAGTCATCTTCACATACATTGTAAACATTAAAATTAATATAGACTCAAAAAGGACCTCAGGAAACCCAACTCAATCTTGAGCAAAATGAACAGAGCTGGAGGCATCACAACACCCGACTTGACACAGATGCATAAACAAGACTGGAACAATAGCAATACCAATAGACATACCAACACAGAAAGGGGAGATTTCCGGGGGTTCCACCCCAAAATAAAGAACTACAGGCAACTAATAACTGCTTACAGAAGGAGAGTTAACCTCTCCCATGGATGAGCCACCTAACTGGTTCCTAACAAAGTGGTCAGTCCTGAAACCATATACACAGAAGCAAAATGAACAAGTTGTATTTATATATTTGTTCATAGATACACATTTACATGTAACAATAGATGAGGAGGAGGAGAAGAAGAAGGAGCTATCAATTTGACATGGAGGGA